AGCACCAACTTATTCATTTAAATAGCCAAATAACAGGCAAAATTTTGGTGTTTTGTGGTTCATACACTATAGATAAACTAATAAATTTTGACAGCATACATTGCAGCTGTTAGGAACTGTAGATAAAAGTGTGGACCTCAAATGTAAATGCAGAACGTTTTGGCATGTGTTATTCATTACAGTGAGAAATACTATAGAATAAATTTCTAGATCTTAGTATATGAGCATTGCTTTATAGCTTTGAGAAGCTTGCATGAGACTTATTTGGCCAAATAAGTGTGCTGGTGTTTATACAACAATGGAGGATGTTTGCCTACCGTGGGCAAAGATGGTTTGTGGTTCTATGTGATTTTTAGATAACATTGGAGCCATAGCATGAGATAATTGACAGTTCTAATCCTAAATTGTCTGCTGTAAAACACAAAATATCAAGGCTAGATTTCTAAATCCAGCCTTTTATTATTGGTGTCCCAAATCATTCCATGAAGCTCACAAAGTTATTGGTGCCCCTGTAACTATTCCTTTAGAATGGCAGTGCCTAGACTTATCATACTAAATAAATAACCCTTGCCATATCAGACACTAGAAGCATACTTAATATGTACATATTAAATTGCATATTTGAGCAAAAAGTTATTACTGCAGCCTCACAAGCACTCAAATTTGAAGTTGAGGAATAAAAATGGAACCTCTAAATATTCATTAATGTGATATATTGTCTTACTCCCCTTTATTTTATTCATAGATGCCCCTTGGAATGAACAGGAAAAGGTTGAATTTTTTACCGATAACTTTTGTCAAATATGTGGAGTGGTGCTACAGTTTGAATCACAAAGGGTTTCACATTATAAGGTAGGTTAAAAATAATGGGAATAGGGTCTAAAGCATGTTTATAAATGTAGCAAGTAAACTTTATGTAAGTCATCTTACTTGATTCTTATGATAATCCTGTGAAATAGGTGGCATTATTTCCCCTTGACAGATGAGGAGACTGGCTCAGAGAAGGACAGTAGAATCCTACCTTAAGTTTAGGGAATTCAGATTTAATCTCTGTCTTTTTGACTCCAGAGCTTGTTTTCTTTTCTTCACACCATTCTGCCTCCCTTTGTATCTATCAAGCCACTATACCATTCATCCTAGTAATAAATATAAGGAGGGTATTGTGAAGCTTGCATAGGAAACTATTAATGTGATTCAAGGTATACTGTAGAACTCCGAGTCTTCTTTTACAGTAAATGAAGTCTATAAAAACAAAATCAACCAGTCTTGCACGTGGCTTAGCCACGAGATTTTAGGCACAGAACCATAGAACTCTAGAGCTAGAAGAGAAAATGTTTAATGTTCTTACTCTCTTATTTTGTAGATTAGAAAACTGAGACCCAAGAGTTAGTGATTCTCTCTATAGCTAGTCATTGGCATGAATAAGCCTAAAAAGGATTACTTCTGATTTCATATCCATCATTCGTTCCCTTTATATGGCATTCCCTCACAATTCTACATCATCTGATAAGCTGTTAGGTTCCTTTCATATCTGGTTTCTGGGTTATCAAAAGTACTAGATACATTTATTTAAATAATGCTAGTTCTACTTTTTAAGCATCTCATCTAGTTTTGCCCATTGCTAATTTTATTGGCCACCATGTTTTAGTCTTTATGTTGACTGGGATTAAATTACTGTAATTACAGATAGGGACACTGGGTTGGCTGTGGATGGAGAGGAGCTACGTTCAAGTCTTAACTTCACCATTGACTACTTGTGTGACCCTGGGTCACTTTACCTCTCTGAGCATGTTTTTTGAACCTGCAAAATGTTGATGGTAAAAAATATCTCTTACTATACTTGGCAGAATTAAGTGAAATCAAATATGTGAGAGTGCCTAGCACATCTTTAGACCCCATAACTAAAATATTAGAATTAGTAAAGAGAGAAAGACAATGAAGGTTCTCTGTGATAACTGCAGTCAGAACCATTTGAATTTAAATTTGAAAAGCAGCTTTTTATGGAATTATAAAGCACTATGAGTATTTAGTGTAAAAAATATACAAAAATACAAGAAAATAAACATCATAATTCTGTCACTTATAGTTAACCATCATTTAGGTTTTTTTGTTTGTATAATTCCAATATGTTTTCTGAATACACACACAGACAGACACTTTTACAAAAGAGAATCATGTATGTTATTTTTGTACTTTTTTTTTTCATGTAAGAGCATAATCTGGACATTTTGTCCTGCAATTATATCTTTCTTTTCTATAATAGTTTTAATGGCTATAAAGTATTATATTATGTAGATGTACCACATTTTTCAATTTAAATTTGAGTACCATCTGCAGTTTGATGCTTAAGCCTGTTAGATCACCACACCAAAACTACACATGATTTTCTATAAATTTGAAAGCATTTTCCATGTAAATATTCTACTTGAAAAAGTGATTTTTTTTTCTTTAGCATATAGCCTGGTTAATACTGTCAGACTATCTCAGAATAGTACTTATTTACATGTAAAATATGACAGTGCTACAGAAATTTTGAATTTTAATGAGGTTGCATCTATTAATATTTCCCTTTGTATCTATGCTTATGTGTTTAAGAAATTATTCTATGTGCTTTTGTCATATAGATACTTACCTCTACTTTCTTCTAAAACTTTGAAAAGTTTTACATCTTATGTTAAAGTGTTTAATCCGTCTGATACTGATTTTCGTGTCTGGGAAGGTTGTGACAACATTTTTTTTCATATGGATAGCCAGTTGTCCCAGCACCATTTATTGTACAGTCCATCCTTGCCCCACTGATTTGTAGTCGCAACTCCATCATATACAAATTTCCACATATATATTGGTCTGTCTTGAAGCTATTATTCTGTTTTATTTTATTGGCTCGCTTTTCTATCTCTATAACAATTTCACCTTTAAAATAAGTCAGAGCTTTAAAATGAGTCATAATATTTGCAGGAGAAACTTACATGGCACATAAAAAATTATAAACTAAGTTAAAAGATAAGCCACAGATTTGATGGTATTTATAACAAAGGATTAGTTTCTAGAATATGTAAAAGGCTAGGAATCAATTAGAACAAGAACCCAATAGAAAAATAGGAAAGTGTTATGAACAGGCTATAGAAGATGTACTCCACTTCACTAGTGATCACACAAGAAATGCAAATTAAAGTGATAATGAACTATCATATAAAAACCATAATTCTGGCAAAAATTAAAATCTAATAGCACGTAGGAGGATGTAGGAAAACACACATATGCTGCACTTGGAGCTATAAACTGCTTCAGAATTTTATAATACCTAGTGAAGTTGAAAATCTGCATACCTTGTAAGTCAAGAATTCCACTTCTAGGTATTATCTATTCTTGGACATGTATATTAGGAGATATGTTTACATATGTTCATTGCAGCAATGTGTGTAATAACAAAATAAGCAGAGACATAACTGCCCTCAGTAAGGGACTGGATGGGTAGCATATGAAGTGGAATATTATACAGTATGTAACATGAATGCACTAGAGCTATGTATCAATATGGGTAAATCTTAGAAATATAATATTGAGCTTTAAAAAGCTACTTGGAAAAGGATATGTGTGGAATAATTCCATTTTCATAAAATGTTTTAAAACTCAATAATATATAATACAGTTTATAGGTACATGGGGTACATGCGTATGTAGTAAAAGAATAAAAGCATGAAAGAAAATGATGTACACCAACTTTAAGATAGTGTTTATCTGTGGGGAGAGAGAGAAGAGGAAAGGATTTTTGGCAGGAGGGTATATGACTGTATCTGTAAAATTTTACCTCTTTTAAAAAGATCTGATAGAAATACAGCAAAATATTAATATCTGTTAAAACTGGATGGTGGGTATAGGCTTTGGCTATATTATTTCCTGTCCTTTTCTATATGATGAATATAATTCACAATTTAAAATTATGTAAAGAAAGAGTGATTGCCTCACATAATGTGCTCAGGGAATGTTCATTTCTCTTCTCCCTGCACCAATATCTTGATTATTCTTATGAGTTTGGTTATACATTTATTCAGAGATTATTTATAATATGGCTTAAACCCAGAGGGCTTATTTCCTCACATAAAAGAATTTGAGAGGTAGACAGTACGGGGTTGATATGACAGCTCCATGGCATCAACAGGGACCTAGGCATTTTCTCTTTCTGCTTTGATGAACTGGCTTTCCTCTTCAAGGTGCCCCATGGTCCAAAATGGCTGCTGGAACTCCATCCTTTGCATCTTAATTCCAAAAGCAGGAGGGAAGAAAAATAGAAGGGCTTATCCCTCCGCCTTTTGAGGATGCTTCCCAGAAGTTCCACAGATCACTTCAGATTACATCCTATTGGCCAGAATCTAGTTACATGACTACATCTTGCTGAATGGGAGGCCAGAAACTAGTCTTTTAGCTGGGTACATTCCCAAGATTTATAATTAAGGAAGAAGAAGGCATTTGATATTGGGCAGCAAGTAGGAGTTTTTGTCAAAAACAAGAATCTAGGAGGTATTGGCTTTTAAATTGTAGCATTATTTTCATTTTAACTGAGATTTAGATATTTGAAAGCACGGGAAGCTCTTTCATAAGCTTAGTACATACTAATATGAAAACTCATGAGTGCTGCCCTCAAATTCAGAGAGGTGTAAATTTTGGGTGACTGTTATTAAATAAACAAGGTCATATTATATTTTTTTTTCAGAGTGAAAAACATGCTCAAAATGTTAGTTTTTATTTTCAAATGCATGGGGAACAAAATGAAGTGCCTGGTAAAATAATGAAGATGCATGTTGGGAATTTTCAGGTGAGTGGTCTGTGTTGACATCGTAATTCTAAACTTTGAGTTGTCAAATCTTTCTAATAAGATTGTGCTTGTTTCAGATGCATAGAAATGGAGTAGTGGACAGAAACAAATTTCGTGATCTCTGCAACATGGTTTTTAGCTCCACGGTTGTTGCCGAGTCTCACTATGTGGGGAAGGGCTGTGCTAAAAACCTTAAGCAGTTAGTAGAGGAACATGATCAGGTATCTCCATCAGGATTTCAGCCAGAGAGGGGTAAGATTCAATTCACCTCTTTATGTTCAATACGGGATCTATCGATCATTTTTTTCCAACTCTGCCATCCATTTTTTTACTGGGGAGACTTTCACTCTCATTGATATAACTTGATTATTCTTCTGCCCAGTTAATCTCTTTCTGTGTCTTTGTCGTTTAATATGGAGATTGTAATTGCTAACTGAATTTTAAGAAATGTTAATGACCTCTCCCTTTCAATTTACCACATTCAAATAAAAACAAATTATTTGTTATATTGCTATAAACAACAAGCAGCTGGAAGTCTGTCAGTTTTTGATCAAATCATAAAATCTTAGTTCCTTCTTCTTTTCCTTGGCATCTTTTTTTGCTTTAGTATTTTCCAAAAAATTATTTCACATGTGTTCAGATCAATATCTTCATCATAGTATAGTTACGGATGCAGCATTTCCTGACTATAAATGTAGACCAAAAAATAAATAAGATACTGAATCTTCTTCTACCCTGACAGCCATTCCTTTCTTCCTAAGAATGTCTTTATAAGTATCACCAACATCATCATTCAGTAATTACTGGATACTTATGCTAAATTCCAAAAATACAGATAATTATAAAACATTACTTTTCTCCTTTCAGTGATGTTGGGCCACCAGTGCATATAAGAGATTTGACCCAAAGTTGCCTGAGATGGCAGAGTACACCTGGAAAACCCATTTTGTATTTTGAAAGACTTGTGTGCTAGAACAAAACAACAACAAAAAAAGATTAATCCTCTGGAATAAGTCATTTATCACACTCTTAGCAACTTCAGCACTTTAGGACTGAGGCATGCCTAGCATGGACAATTTACCAACATTAATTTCCAACTCATAGTGTAGGCATCACCCAGCAAAGTCAGTGCCACAAGAAACATTATTAAAAGTTAATCCCATACCGGCCATCAACCCAAAAAACAAACAAACAAACAAAACCTTATTGTTTCCTTAATAAATGAAACCAGAATTATTTTTCAATTTATTTTAATCTCTCCAGTTTTTGTATGTTTTTCTTCTTGTCAGTCTAAAGAAGGACAGAATCAGTGTCCCCTACAAAAAAAGGCATTTTGTAAAAGCTGTATCTTTTTAGTCCTCCAAATTCATTAATTTGGGCTCAGAGAGGAGAATAAATGAAAGAGCTATGAAATAACTGGAATTGTGGAAATATTTATAGTTTTGTAGTCATAAACAACTGCACATATTTTTCTGATGCAAACATCTCATCTAGACTAACTAGATGCCATACTATGTCATTCAACTTAGAAGTTGGTGTCATCTGTTTTCCCTTCACTAATTTCTCTGAATCATTCTAAGGTACCTCTCATACTTTCATTGATTCTTCAAATGAACAGAATTAGGCAATGCCTGATGCAGAACATTTCTTCGTTCCTGCTTCTTTATTGGAGAAATTTGGTGAGAGATTCATATTCAAATTTCCACTCTCATGGAAGGAATTTTTTTACTTGAGTAGCTTTATCCAGCAGCCCTCTGCTAAAAAAGCCCAAAGATCATGAGGTTTTTAGGACATTCTGAATTTCTCTAATACTTTACAATGAATACAGCTCTAATATCTGAACACATGTTGATCATTTCTCATTACTATTTCAGCAGGTGTGCCTATTACTACTTCTGCAGAGTTAACTTTCCTGAAGCCCCTTGCTGTGAAGCCTCCTCCAGGTGGGATTGAAGACAAGACTATGCCTTCCTCCTCGAGCAGTGATTTGGATTTGAATAATCCAAATAAATATTGCAAGCTCTGTGCTGCTTCCTTTAATAGTCCGATAATGGCCCAACAACATTATGTTGGGAAAAAACACAAAAGAAATGAAGCTAGGAAGACATTTGTAGACAAGAAGAGAGAGAAACCTCTTCCAGCAAAATCAAATGCAAATGGTAAATAGCAAAATTATCCCAAAACTCTTTCATAGGAAATTTGTATTTTATAAAACATACTAGCTTATTTTTGTACCATTTTACTCTTATTAAGAGGTTGATAGTATTCATGGAATCATAGAATTTTTTATAAGAATTTTCAAGTCCTTCTAGTTTGATCTGTTTGTTTTCTGGAAAATGAGACCCAGAGTGGTTTAGATGACTCCTATTAATTTTAGAATCAAATGTAGGCATTCCCATAGTTCCATGTTATCTTAAGTATATAAGGAAGTATTTTAAATTAGTATCATGTGGTTATATCATTTATTCACTAAGTATGGTTTAAGTGTCTCTTGTATGCTAGGCTAGTCATTCTTAGGAATACAAATGAAAATATACCACTTTCCCTGAAGAAGCAAGTGCAAAAACTAGTTGGGTTAATAATACTTCATTGTGAGAGGATACAGACGTGGATTTTTATGTGCATATTTTGGTAACGAGAGGAGTGAATCATCAAGGTCCAGAAAATCTTCGTAGATTTCAGTGATTTCAGTTGATAGAAATGGGAAGGAGAGAGGATGGACAAAGGGCTTGGAGCTAAGAAAGACTGCCAAGAATTCAGGCACAATAGAGAGAGGGATCCTGACTGGAGTGATCCACTTGCTCTTCTAACCATATTGTTTTTATGTTTTCCCCCTACAGGCACCTTCTTACTACTAGTGTTTTTTACTCCCCTTTCATATTCTCTCTTCCACCCACTTCTTTTCCTCCATTCACTGTGACTTTTCTATTCTTTCCTTACTAGACCCTTCTCCTTCGTGTGAAGATGTTCATTCTTCTCTCCTTCTTGAAGCTCTGTTCTTTGTCATATGTAACTCCTTGTGCTCTGGTTCTTCTCCCGTGTTTCTATCTTTTCTGTTTTCTTTATGGGCTCTTTTCCTTATTCATTACGTAGACCTAGGTATTCCCATGGTTCCATTCTTCACCTTACTCTACAAACATGATTTAATCTATTTCCCTGGTTTTATCTCTCATCTGTATGCTTATGACCTTTCTGTCAAGCTTTAGACTCACATATCCAAATGGCAGCTACTGCTTCGCTGGGATGCCTCATAGCCATTCCGAATCCACTCAGTTGTTCAAAATAGAAACCTGCCGTTAACTGTGAACCTCCGAACACCACCTTCTTCACTCTTTGTATCTAATTAAGTACCTAGCTGTGAATCTTTTACCTCCTAAATACTGTCCCATTATCTCCAGCCCTGCTTTTCCCACACTAGTTCAAGTCCTCAACATCTTTCCTAGAGTTTTGCCACTCAAAGTGTGAGTGAATCCACACCCTTTTGCATCACCTGGGAGCTTGTTAGAAAAAAAGAATCACAGGCTCCACTGCAGACCTACTAAATCAGAATCTGCATTTTAACAAAATCCCTCGGTGATTTTTACTCAATAAATTTTGAGAAGTGTTATCCTAGAATATTGCCACGACCTCCTAACTGCTCTCCCTGCCTCCAGCTTTGTCTCCCCAAATCCATCTCCAATTTAACCTCTAGACTGTTTTCACTTAAAGTGCAAATATTTTCATGTTATTCCCTTTCTTAAACACCCTTCATTGTTTCTCCATCTTCTGAAGGTGAAATCTAAGCTCCATAGCTTCCTACCATCTTGTTTCTGCTTGCCTTCTCCAGGCTTATCCCCTTTTACTTCCAGCCATGATCTATGTGGGTCAGTATCTGCAAACTGTTTATGATTTACAGAAGCCATCACCCTATTTCTTGTCTCTGTGCCCTCATTTGCCTGGAATATCCCCATAACCCTCTTGTCCTACCTAATTCCTACTCATTCTTTAACATGCTGCTGCTGCCTGGAAGCCTTTTTACTTCCTTCAAGGCTAATCTTATGTGCTTCCTTATTCTGCATATCTAATTATCTCTTCATGTGTCTTTATCTCCCATTAGAATGTCGGGTCTTCGAGGGAAGGGACTTCATCTAACTCATCTATATTTCCAGTGCTAGAGACAGAAACTGGCACAGAGGTTGGCCTACCTCAATAGAGATGAGTTTAATATCTGAATCAGTGAACTATTAATTCATCTTTATTAATTGGGTGCTTACACTTTGTACTATTTCACTTTCCTACTTAACATGATTCAACATATTCCAAAAAGTTACATAGAGATACATGTTTTTATCTAGGATTTTAAAGAATGTTGAGTTAGGCACATGTATAGAAGTGGTAAGGCTTCTGAAAGTAGGAGTAGAGTTTGGGGAAATGACAAATTTCTATTTGTTAGGGTATTTTTCCTGTTGTTGGGCTGAGGATATCTGAGATAAGTGGTTTCTAGTTTAGTGGCATTAAGTAAATTTGAACTGAGTCAGCTATGAGAAGTGTGTGCACCCTTGTCACTTCTAAACGAAGAGGGTCATTTTAGCTCTCTAAAGTTTCAAGGTTATTAGAATGAGGGAAGAAGGATTTTGATGAAATTCTCATCTTATGGTGGGGGAGGAAGGATGATCCTCAATGTAACTTAATCCAGTCATTGAAGTCATTTTACACTATACACTGAAGCTAGAGCTCAAAGAACAAATTTTCAACCCTGCCTTGACTATTTCATTTTGAGAGTAATAACATTTGAACATAGCTTGAGAATTTAAAATAGCTACTGAGAATTTCAAAGAACAGTCAGAGTACAAGCCCATATTACAGTGAGCAAGTGGTAAGACAAAAACAATTTAAACATATGCCCCCTTAACTATTTCACTCTTCACCCATTTTCTCCTTTCTGTGTCTGCCTTCCTCTTGATCTGCTATTGTTTATAAGTTTCTTTCATATCTAATCTCTTTCTCTTTTTCTTTATCATTCCTACTGCTTTCTTCATGTCCCTCATCCAGCCCAGATCTTAGTAGCACAGGAATGGCTACCATAACGATATGGAACTAAAGTATGTATGTATTTTTTATTTATTGTATTTGTTTTGTTTATCTTACTAATTTCTAGCCCCATTACTGCACTTAAATGTCTCACCTTCAACTGTAATCAACATATCTAAAATTGAATAAATCTCCTCTAAAACCAACTAGAATTTCCCAAGTTTTCTCTCTTTGTCAGTAATACTGCTATTATTAGTCACCTACACTTGAATCTTTGAGGGCATCTTTGACTACTTAATTCCCTATATCCTATCCATAAGCAAGTCTTATCATATCTTCTTAGAGCTATTTCTCCTTTCTGTATTTTTTCATTACATTTCTCCACTATCATTATTTCACACCTTAACACTTTAATAAACTTCTGGAAAGCTTTACTGCACCTCATTGTTATTCATTCCCTAGTGGTGAGATTTCAACAGTAGATCAATTCCACTCTCCACCTTTTCTGCTTCTGCATTGAGGCTACTGAGTAATGCAATGGAAAATTATGTAAGTCTAGAGATTGAGTACCTCTTCAGGGTATCCAGCCTCTTTGGGCCTTTAGTCCTGCTTAATCCTTTTTCTTTCCCTTCATTTTCCCCTTAACAATGATTTTAAACCTATATCACTTTCCAAGACGTTCTTCCCCTAATCTATACTCCCCCCTCCTCACACTTCTCAAATAAGCTTCTTTCTTATTTCATAAAGAAAAATTTGGCCATTAGATGTGGATTACCAAGTATCTGGCTTAACCAAATCCTCCTGTAACCCTGAGTTCCTCTTTAACTACTGCGCTCTCTCCTTTCCTTCTCAGCCAAGTTTCTGTAAGTGTAGTCCGCTTGTGCTGTCTTCACCTGTTATTCACTCCTCAACTCACTGCCATTTGCTTGCACACATTCCCCCAGCCTTCACACCACCAATCTACCACTTCACTGAAACTACTAAATTTTTTAATCTAATGGACATCTTTATTTAGCTCCTTTGATTTCACTCTTCTTTCTCTACCATCTTATAAAGAATTGCACTCACCAGGGTTTTATCATTATGTTGCTCTTCCTATACCCACCATACATTCTCCTCAGGAGATTTCATCCACTCTATTTTTTAACTAGCCCCATGTTCTCACATCTCCAAAATCTCTCTGACCTTTCAAACTCCTATATATGACTGCCTGTTGGACACCTTTACATGGAAGTCTCACAGATATCCCAGACTCTGTGTGTTTTAACTGATATTCACCATTGCTTATTCTCCCACCCCCTAAAACAGCACTTCTTTCTGAAGTTCCAACTTCAGTTAATGAGATCACCACCCACTCAGTTACCAAACTAGGATTCTGGAAATTATTTTAGACTCCTCTAGATTCCGCCCTTTTTTTATACCTAATAGTCACCAAGTTTTGCCAGTTTTAAAGCTAAATATTTCACCAGTCTCCCTGCTCCTCTCTACCCCTACTGAGAACCTTCTAGTCTATGCCCTCATTATCTTTTTCCTGGTCTAGTATATTCACCTCATAATTGTAGTCTCCTTATTTCCACACTTTCTCCTCTTAAATTTATTCTCTATATTACAGCCAGAGGAGATATTCATCTAAAATGCACAATTGACCAGTCTTGTCACTTACTACTTAAACCACTTCAAGGATTCCCAAAGCACAGAATAAAGTTAGGCTCCATAGCATAACATATAAGTCTCACTTTGATCTGACCCCTTTTTACCTCTCCCATCTCATCCCCTTGTGTTTTACTCCACAACAATTCCAAATTTTAAGTTCCTGTAAACACTTATGTACTTTTTTTTCATGCTAACTCCTGCGCCTACAATGCTCTTCTCACCTTTTTTCATCAAGTTAACTACTTTTTATCCCTCCAAGTTTAGCTAAGGCATCATCCCTTCCAGTAGCCTTCTTTAGACCCTCATATTGTACTAAGTGCCTCTGCTTCTTTGTGCTCCCATACTTCTTAAGCATACCTCTCTTACTTTCACCAAACGAAGTTCAAATCCTTTGTTTATGTATCTCTTTCTCACACTGGATTCGTGAACACCTGGCTGTTTTATTCATCTTGTATCTCTAGCGCCTGGGTCCTGTGCATTGGTGTTTTGTATTTTCTCTTTTTTAACTTCCCTAGTTATTCTGATTTGGAGCCAAGATTGAGAAACACAATGTTAGACTACAAAGACCTGTGTTTCACAATTTATGCTTTGAAAACAAAGACCTTATTTCAAATATTTATGAAATAGGACTGTGATTAGGAGAAGAGTGGGCCCCCCAAGTGTTAGGTTATGGGAGATTCTGAAAGGTACAAGATGCAGGGAAGTCTGAGTGTCTGGATGAACTTAGAAACAAGGAATCCTAGCAGAGCCAAGAGCAACAAAGCTGTATAGGGCCGAGGATCATTCTCTGATATAAAAGAACGAAGAGTGTAAGAGACATAGTGAAGGCAGGTTTCAGGAGGATTTGATCAGGAATTCTGACCTTGAAGACAATGAATAGGCTTCATGTCTTCACAGAAAGGATTCACACAGTTTTTATATAATATTTTCTCAGATGTGTGTATCCCAGAAAAAGATAAGGAGCACCAGTGTGTGAAAAAGCCAAGGGCTAAAGTAATAGTACTCAGATAACAGTTTTAGAACTGCCTCTAGATCTTTCATACATGACTAAGCAGCTCCTCTAAACTCCTATATTACCTCTTTTAGCATCTTACTTCTGGCGTAATTTGTGGAGAACCAAAAGAGGAGCTGAGGAAAACACCGTATACAGTATACTTTATAATTATAAACACTAAATAAATACATAACACCTCTGAAACATAAGCTGAGTTTATAATCACAATGAAGATCATTGGCTCAGTAATCTCGGGTAGGTGCTCAGCAATGGCTGCACAATAAAATCATCTGGAAAGCTTTCAAAAAGTAAAGTCTGGTTCCACCAGTAGAGATTCTGATTTAATTGGCCTGATGTAGAGCTGTAACATCAATATTTTTGAAGATTTCCTCATGTTTCTAATGTATAACCAGCATTGAGGACCACTAATCTAGAGGAAAACAGGACTCCTGCTTATTTTGCATAAATTGTACACTCTTAAAATATATGGTATTGGTTATTCTTAGCCTTAATTTCCACACCTGTAAAATAAAGATGGTAATAATTTCATGAAAATGGTTGTAAAGATGCACAGGCCTGGGTTTAGTCCTTAGCTTTGCAGGAGGTCTAGAATCTTCAAAGTTGATCAGCCTCAAATCAGGGACTCACTAACCACAAACAAACTTCAAAGAGGCTGATAAATAGCCAAGGAACTGTAAAGATATTTCCTCAGTGTATTTCTCACAGTCTCTGATAATAATCACTTGCAGTATTCGTTGAAATACAAATTCCTTATGCCTGCCCCGGAAACAATACATCATGTTCTCCAGGGGAGTGGTCTGAAAATCTGTATTTTAAACTAACACATCACGTGGTTCTTATCAAAATCATCTAGAAAACATTGTAGTTTAAGTAAATGTATTATTATTCTGGTATTGATTTATGGCGGGAGGAGATACACAGTTCCAGTTCCCAATTTTTCTTGAAGTGTATCATCCATGATATCCTTTTCTTGGAATCAAAGAATATGGGAAACCAAGCTGTAATCATAAAGTGACTTGGTGAGCATGAAATCAGAGCACAAGGAGGGAAGGTAGTTTTGAGGAATTATTCATTCAGATTTTGGTGTAACCTGCAGAGCTCTCCTGGGCCCACAATAGAGTATATGTCAGTAGTGAGCAGTCTCATGTTCTTCAAAATTAGCATCTTTCTTTCCTCTTGACAGTCTCCTGTTTCTGCGAATAATCTTTGCTTGGACAAGACCAATACTCTTGATAATGATTAATTTAGTTTCCTTTCAATAATTAGGTTGCTGTTTGATTTAAAAGAAGATGACCATGGTTGTCCCTAAAAATCTCTGCAGCTGTCAGTTTATTGCCTCCTCCCTAGGGTGGGGTTGCTATTGTATTTGGCTTATGAAATTTATTAATTTGCTTCTTCTAACCAAAGAGAAAGTGTAAGGATAACGAGATCAAGAAAACAAAACTTAATTTATCCTCTGCTTCTAATTCTACCAAAGAAGCAGAATAATGAGGTAGCTGGTATACAGTTCCTATTCTGTAGTTCTTGACTCGTTTGGAGTGGTACCAGTAGTTTTGTTTTAGAATTTTGCTTTCAGCTTTTATCCTAAAAGTGGGGCTCACTGTACTTCTCTCTAAAATCTGTGGAAATTACTTTTGGTAACTAATGCACTACAGTGATTTCAGGTAAGAGAGTTAAAAAGTGCTTTTATTTGTCTTTAATCTTTTGTGACATTCCTGGTTTTGGTTAGGTGGAAAGAGGGGCAAACAAAAAGAAGTAGGTTGAGGGATTAGGAAGCAAAAGTTAGTTGGGCATGCTAAATTTGAGGTGCCTCTTCCATCTCCATGTAGCAGCAATTAGGAGGCAGATAGCAGATTTTTAGGAAAGAGGGCAAGGCTAGAGAAGCAGTGTGGTGCAGTGTAAAGAATGCTAGGCATTAAATAAAGAGACATGGGCTCTGAGAGTCTAACTCTATTACTGACTGGCTCTGTGACTTTGACCATGTCATTTGACCTCTCTTGGCCCTGCTTTTGTTGGGAAATTTCAGGTAGATGGTTTCTAATAGGTTCTTGTCCACCTCTAATATAATGTGATTCTAAGTGTATCCATACTGACCTTCTTAACTTGAACTCTGTTTCTTCAGCACTTAGTACAAGAACCTATGTTTGCCGTGTTTGTAGTATCACCTTTACATCTTTAGATATGTTCCGGTCTCACACGCGAGAAAGTGGACATCATATTAAGTAAGTACTTTTGCCAAAATGCTCCTGTGACACAAATGACCAGCGCTTCTACTCAAGTACCCTTTCATAAATTTTACAAACTTTTGAGGCATTCATTTTCCCTATGAGTTGAACCCATATATGGTTGGCAGTATTTATAAAATATTGTGCACTAGTGTGCCCGAAGGAGTTCTCTAGTCTAGTGTACTTGTAGAGCTGGCTAACATGTACCCCTCCAGACCAGACAGCATTGTCCTTCTATGGAGAGATACTAAAGGATCATTCTCAGGCTATAACCATTCAAATTCAAAGAGTCTCTGGAAGGTTGGCTTAGTTTCTAGGGCTTCAGTGAATCAGTCATCATCCTTCCAGTGAGTTATAGTGGCTAAGAACAAAGGTCTTGCTGTTAGAAAGACCTGAATCAGAATATCAGATACATATTTCTACCAGGTGTTTAACTTTGGACAGCTCTGATGTAAGATTGTCATAATGAAATATAATAATATGTGTAAGATGCCTATCTTGGCACATAGTAGAAGCTCAATAAATGTTTAGTCCATTCTATTCAATTATTTTAAGGAGAGGAGAATTGAGTGGATGGACACTTAGGGACTGGATAATTCAGATAGTGAGACAGAGGGCCATTTAACTATTGTATATTTGGTTTGTTGCTTTTAAAGTCAAAGCATAGTATTTCTGTTAACATTATTTTATTCTAATAGAAAATATATTATTCTAGTTTGAATACTTAGAAGCTAAATTGTGTGACTTGCCAAATTAACTTACATTTAGACTTTTCTTTTTTTTTTTTTTTTTTGTCTTTTGTCTTTTTTTCCGTGTCTGGCAACGGATCGCAACCCTCAGTGTTGCCCCCGTACCGGACCAGGGACCGGCAACGGGATCGCAACCCCCGGTGCTGCTCCCATGCCTCGCTCAGCCAGTGAGTGGGAACCGGTCTGTATGTGGGATCCGAACCCTCAGGCGGGAGCGCCGCCATGCTTCCCAAGCGGCGCACTATCCAGTGCGCCACCGAACCAGCCCTACATTTAGACTTTTCTAAAGATCTCAGGTTTCCAGAATAAATACCTGCCACATTTATAGAGCTATACAAGGAACTGACTAACCAAAATATTAAAAATAATATGACATTCATATCCAACTGTTTATTGGGGCATTAAATAATATTGGTACTTACCCACATACCAGGCCTGAGAAAGTTTTTTTTTTGCATAAAAATTGTGAGGTGCCTGAGAGATACTTGACTATCGCTGCTGCTTTTGGGGGGGCATAAAAAGTCATGATTTATAGCTTTTATAAAGAGGTAGGTTTTTAAAATTTACTTGGGCTTTTGTTGGGTTTTTTTTCACACTAATATTTTTGAAAGTAAAAAAATATTCAGAATAAAATAATCAAGTAAAAAGAACTTTTTACTGTATTTTTTTGCAGAGAATCTTCTGTTATTAATCCAGTGAAGAATTCAAAGACACAAAACTCTTATCAAGAAGAATGTGCAGATTATGTCAAAGTGCAGAAATCCAGAGAATTAAAGCCCAAGACATGTTTCAGAAAGATGGAAGAGAGTTCTTTGGATACCCGTGGGTATAGAGAAGTGGTCAGTTCCAGGCCCAGACATAGAATGTTTGATCAAAGATGCCCATTTGAGACTTTCCAGACATACACAGGGCCATACAATATTTCACAAGCAGTGGAAAACCAGTTACCTCACTATTTACCAGCTCATTCAAAGAAGACATATGACTCCTTCCAAGATGAACTTGAAGATTACATTAAAGTTCAGAAAGCCAGAGGACTACATCCAAAGACTTGTTTTAGAAAGATGAGAGAAAGTTCTATGGAAACCCATGGGTATAGAGAAATGGTCGATTCTCAACCCAGAAAAAGAATATATGAGCAAAGATTTTCATTTGAGACTTCCCAGGCCTACCAACAGCCATACTACACTTCACCAGTAGAAGGCCAGTTACCTCATTGCTTGCCAGCTTATTCAAAAAAGAAGTATGACTCTTTTCGAGATGAACTTGAAGATTACATCAAAGTGCAGAAAGCCAGAGGACTAGAGCCAAAGACTTGTTTCAGACAGATAGATGATAGCTCTGTGGAAACCCATAGGTACAGAGAAATGGTTGATACTAGACCCAGACATAGAATGTTGGAACAAAGACTCCCATTCGAGACTTGCCAGACCTACCCAGGACCATACAATATTTCACAAGCAGTGGAAAACCATTTACCTCATTGCTTACCAGCTCATGATAGCAAGCAGAGAGTATACTCTGTGAGCTACTGTCAACTCACCAGAGACTATTTCCCAGAAAAACCAGTACCCCTGAGTCTTAATCAGCAAGAAAACAACTCTGGCCCATACAGTGTAGAATCCGAAGTTTACAAGCACCTGCCCTCAGAAAACAATATCAGTGACCATCAAGCAAGTCATAAACGGAGACATCAAAAGAGAAGACGACACCTGGAAGAAGGTGAAGAAAGACCAGAGAAGGAGCAGTCCAAGCATAAAAGGAAAAGGAGTTATGAGGATATGGATTTAGACAAAGACAAGAGCATCAGACAAAGAAAAAGAGAGAGAGATAAAGTCAGGGTCAGTTCAGGAAAGCTTAAGCATCGAAAGAAGAGAAAAAGCCATGATACACCCTCTGAGAAAGAAGAACGTAAGCACAGGAAAGAGAAAAAGAAATCTGTTGAAGAAAGGACAGAAGAAGAAATGCTTTGGGATGAGTCTATTCTTGGATTTTGAACTTTTTGTTTACCCAAGGATATATTGAAGAAAACGGTTAAGACTATGGATTTAGACAAAGACAGGAACATCTGATGAAGAAAAGAAGTGGATACAGTCACTATCAGTTCAGGAAAGCTTAGTTTTTTGTGTAAAAATTGAAATTGAATTGAAAAAAGAAACAGAAAAGCTTAAACCCAGCCTCTGAGAAAGAACATAAGAATGCAGGAAGAACATGTAAGGAAAGGAAACCTGTTGAAGGAAAGACAGAAGAGTCAGTATTTTGGGATGAGTTTACTGTTGGATTTTGAGCTTTTTAGTTTTGTTTCCATAAAGTTGAAAAAATGGGTTGAAGAGTTTGACTTCATGAAATTCATTTTACTTGAATTTTTCTCGGTGGACAGTTACTTTAAACTCTAACAGGGCTGGCTAGTTAGTTCAGTTGGTTAGAGCACCACCTTGTAACACCATGGTCAAGGGTTCAGATCCCTATATCAGCCAGCTGCAAAAGAGAAAAAGAAAAGTGTACTTGATCTTCAAAGATGAGCTCAGAGCCCACCTTTTGGGCTGGCCGGTTAGCTCAGTTGGTTACAGCACCACCTTATAACTGCAAGGTCAAGGGTTCAATCCTTGTACCAGCCAGCCACAAAACAAACTCTAACAAAGGGCAAGTGAAATATGCCTTTTCCTCAAATTACTTTCCTTCATTTTCTAAAAAAAGGAAAAAAAAATTATTTCATGTTTCTTACATATAATGTAATTCCCCTAAATGAAGTTGTGTCTACTTTGTACATCAAATTGCTGTGACAGTGAATTATTTACCCATGGGAGATCATTTATTTTAAATGAGAGAATTACCAGGCATTGCAGAATCCATTCCTTGTTTGGGTTCGTGTTAGTGTTGGTGGTATTTTATTGTTGATGTTGTGTGTTTATGTTTCTTGGTTTTCTCCAAGGAAAATGTATGAAACAATTTAGACTGATTTTTTTCTTTCTTAAATCTAATTTGCAGTGTATTTTTGTATTTTCTAATTCTGAAAGTGGAAAATGAAACAGTCTATAATAAACTTAGATGATATATAGTTTTTAAAAGCTCTCAAAAAGTACTGATTAAAAATTAGTCTATATTCTGGAAATGTTTATATTAAAGTGTTTTAATTTCTACATACTGTTTCATGTAAATGTTCATTTATTATGCAAAAATGATTATTTGAGGAGTGGGGGCAGTAAACAGTTTGCATTTTATATGTCTGAAGTGATCACACAGTAAAGTTGTAATAATTTTAGTTTTTCTACATCTTGCCTGGTAGAAGCTGAGATTTAGTCAGGAGCTCAGTTCTAGGTCAGAAAAATATAACCAACTAAATAATTGAAACTGTAGAAAGGATTTATAAGTGGTAGAGAACCACGAGGGTGTGTTACCTTTAAACTGTTTGATTTGGGCAATTTTTTTTTTACTCTGGTGCTTCCTTTTTTATGATCAGCACCTCCTGTAAGCATTTGAGCATCATTATAGCATAGTAGGAAGTATGATGGCCAGGGAATCCAAATCCCAGGATTCTGGTCTCAGTTGTACCATCAAGTTACTGGTGACCTGGTGAGAATACCATCAGAATGCAACAAGAAGTCACCAAGAATAGGAAAAATAGGCTGTAGAATTCTCTTCATGTGTTAATCCTATCAAAAAAGTAAATAAATCTAGATAGTAATATATATGCATTTAGGCAAGGCATTCAATAGGCTTTTTGTTGTTTGAGATTTGAATAAAATGGTAAATATGAGCTGAAGCATAAGATGAATGGTTGAGTTTATACCTAGTTGAATGAGCAGTATCAAAGAGTTAGATAGTCCCCAAATCAACTTTCCATGAGGCCATTGGCATAAGACTATTTTATGCCACAGTATCACACCATTCCCCCTTTTAAAAACATATCTGGTGTACTGGTGAAAGGAGAGGAGAAAGAAGAACCAGTGTAGAATTAGGCAGCCACAAAATTAGCAAATTCTGTTTTCTGAGCACACAAAAAATGCAGCACTTTTTCACAGAAAGTGCAAAACGAGATCAACTGTCAACATTTTTAGAATTGATAAATTATTTTACAGGTTTATTTTGTGTTTAAAGCTTGGGAGGAGACTCAAAACTATCATAAGACTATCCACTAAGATACCAAATTACTGTGATCTTTTCAAAATAAGTAGATACAGTGATTCATTAAAATTAGCCACATAATTTTATGGTGGGTAAATCATGCAAAATTTAAAAATGAAAATCATAAACTGGGTGGTGTGGCAAGTAGAGGGAGGGAAAGTGGTGTGGTATTCATTATAGTCTCGGGGAGGTCACCAGTGGCTTGCTCTAGAAAAAGAGGTTTTTAAAAATTTTAGAACAGACATTTTTGCCAAAAATAAATTTCATGTTAACCTCACCATAAAATAAATTTTATGTTAAACGGAAAACATAATTTCCTAGCTGAAGCTGGGAGCAAGACCTGGAGTCTGACTTTGACACATTTGTTCCACTCCCTCTGAGCACTTGAAAGTAAGGGTATATATATAAGTCAAGATATTTGAGTATGGAAGACAATACCAAAACAGGTTTGAGAAGAAATAGTTTAAGATGTTATGTGTGAAAACAGTGTCGGAGGTTTTATTACATTTTTGGTTTGAAAGACTAATATCCTCATCCAGACATGAAATCACATATGATTTGAGGCAAACATACTGAACACAGTATTCAGAACAAGTTTAAGCACCTAACTTCAGAGATATATTCTGAATTGGGAAGAAGATACAGGGAGGCAAATATTGGCCAAATTTGGAAAATAATTTTCAAAAATTGAAGCCATAGAAAAAATGGAATTGACTGTCTTGTTATATGTATGCACTGAGCAAATAAGAGCTGTCAGTGCTGTGTTAGGAAGGAACCTGAGAAAAAAACAAACACAGCCTCTGTTTCACAAACAACTCACAGTCCAACAGAAGAAATGGACCAATAAGCAGGCAATTGCAATATAAATTTGATAAAGGCTACAATAGGAGTGATGAAGGATGCTGTGGGTAGCAAGGGCAATAAACGTAATGAGATGGGAAGAGGGCATTTAGGAAAGGCTTCCCAAAGGAAGTAACATCTAAAAGGACCTTTTTCTTTCAGTTGAAAGATTTATTTCTTTGATATATCCTTGTGGCTATCTAGTAGGCACTTCAAACTTAATGTAGCCAAATAGAGTGCCTGCTTCTGCCACTGCTAGTCATTCATCTCCCAATTTCCCCCATTTCTATAAAACCATTCAATTGCTCAAGCCAAAAATCACTTTTGCGCATCCTTTCTCTTCTACATTAGAACGTAATCAATTCCCCTTGATCATAGACTCTCCATCTTCCCTGCCATCACCCTAATCTGTCATCACTACTTCTTGAACAAACTGGGAAAACAAGTTTGAGAGCAATTGAAACATTGGAAGAAGTATCACAGGTTCTGAATTACAGATAAGTGCAGAAAACTGTACAGAATCATCAACAGATCAAAGAGAGCTGTGGTGAACTAAGCCCTTGAGGATTTCGGAAGTATCCAGCATGTTTTCCTCTAGACGAACAAATCCACATACAAAAAAACCCAAACCAAAACAAAACTGCTAGTTTCAGAAATCAAATTGAACAGAGCAGAAACATTGTCGATAAGGGAAAAGGAAAGTTCAGATAGTAGAAGAACAGGGAAGAAGATCCCAGAAAGTATTATGACAGATCCCAGAAAGTATTATGACAGCAAAATAAACTTCTAAGGTGAGAGTAACACCTTGGAAGACAAGACCTGTAGGACGTAAACACAACAGAAAAATGCAGACACAAAGCAAATGGAAACTCTGGGCCAGTATTTCTAAATAAGCCAAAAAAAGAAAACATTTAAAGCTTTGAAATAGAACATAAGTCAGAAAAAGAACCCAAGAATAGAAAACAGAAGGATGTAAAACAAAAACTGACAGAACTAAGGAAATAATTAGAAATTATGAATGAAGATTAACTTGGGAGGAATACAGGAGAGGAGAAACACTCTGATAAAGATGGTAAGGTAAATGAAGAAAAGAGGAAAATGAAGATGAATAGAATTTTTTTAATTATACAAAAGATTGGTAGAAGTAATAGATAAAAGCCAATGGAGATAGAATTAAATTTGTTGTAATGGATGCTGTATTGTGCTGCTCAGAACCACCCCCACCACTGCCACACCTTTTCAGGACAGAGGCAATCATTTCTCCAACTTCTGAGAAATGGGCCTTGTCTGAAGAGAACTGCCTCTGCTGAGGTTATGCCCTCTCCTGGGAGCAGTCCACATCCAGTGATAAGATGATGTAGGTATACAAAGGCCAGGCCTCCTGCCTCAATTTTGGGCAACTGAAAGGCCATCCTCGTTCCCGAACTCCCCATGGTATCAGCTGAGGACTTTGTTGTGACTATCTCACAATTCGGTTTCTTTTCTCTGTTGCTACTTCCCTCACTACCTCACAGATGTTGTCTTGAGCGTGACCCTATAAATTGCCTACAAACAAATCTTCATCTCATAGTCATTTTCCCCAGAACCTTACCAAAAACAGGGAATAACAGGAGTGGTTCTAGTAAACACACACCAAAAATGGGATATTGAAGCAGGCAATAAGGATACTTTCATTGGTAATAGGTAAAATACTAATTGTTTGGTAGTCTCTGGCATGCTATGGCAGCACAGATGTTCAAACTTCCACCACTGATACTAGTGGAAAGGAATGTCCATGTAAGTGTAATATCTCAAGCAGTTGAGAGGATTGGGGGAAATTATTATATGGAATCTGCTGACTTTCTGAGTGCCATTAATGCATTGGAGAAAGAAAATGAAAGACCGAAAGAATTAAGCACCAATTTAAGACAAAATATGAAAGTCAGAAGGCATCCTTGGTAGCATATGAAGAGACTTTTAACTCTTCGTCTTCATCCCCCACCCCCACCCCGAACTCTCTGTGCTCTAGGACTGACAGATAAAATCCAGAATACCCAGTTGAATTTGAATTTGAGATAAAGAGCTAACGTTTAGTATAAATATGTTCCATGCAGTATTGGGGACAAACTTATACTGAAAAATACACATTGTTTATCTGAAATCCAGATTTAACTAGGTATCCTTTGCATTTATTTTTGCTAAGTCTGGCAACCTAACCCATTCCTCTCAATTATTGGCTAGCATGCCCCTATTGCTTGAGGATAATATTTAGGCTTCTCTGCCTTACAAGTCAACAAGCCCCATTCTTTAACATCTATCTGCATCACTCCTGTTGACCACCAGACCAATAACTATGATCAAATCGCAATTTAACCTGGCCTGAGAAGTGCTGGTGTGATAAGGGAAAAAAGAGGGACTATGTGTACTCCAAGGGAAGGAAAGAACTAGGAAGGGGCTTGGTGGAATTGGCCTCAAATGTCAGAATTTGTGGCCAGACTGTAAGAGGACTAGGGATTTCCAGAAGGAGCTCCCATAGTGCGTGGGGTGTGGGGGTGGGGATAGAGAGTAAGTATGGGCTTCCCATAGAGACAGCAGCCCACCTGAGAATATAACACAGAATATGCAAGGGGAGGTAGGGTCAGACCTGGAAAACTTTGACAGAGAGGATCATAGTCTTGGTCAGTTAGGAAACAGGAGTTGCTATGGTTTGAATATTTTTGTTCCCTCCAAAACTCATGTTGATATTTAATCCCCAAAGCAACAGGTGGGGCTTAATGAGAGGTGTTTAGGTCATGAATGGATGAATGCCACTATAAAAAGGGCTTGTGTGAGTAGGTTCACTCTCATTCTTCTGCCATGTGAGAAACAGTGTTTCTCCCTTCCAGATGATGCAGTGCTCAAAGTGCCATCTTACAATGAGAGACCAGGCTCTTACCAGGCACCAAACCTGGAGGCACATTGATTTTGGACTTTGCAGCCTCTGAAATTGTGAGAAATAAATTTATGTTTTTTTATAAATTATCCAGTCTCAGACATTCTGTTATAGCAGCATAAAACGGACTAAGACAGGGGTCGTTGAGGATTTCTAAGCCAAAAAAAAAAAAAAGAAAGAAGAAAGGAAGGAATGAAGGAAAGAAAAGAAAGAGAGAGAGAGAGAGAGAGAGAGAGAGAAGGAAGGGAGGGGGAAGGAGAGAGA